ATGGTGGTTGTGACTTTGCTGATATCAGACCGGTCTCTGTACAGCTGGCACAAAAGTTGGCAGTATCCGAACAAAAGGCTTAATCTTTGACCACACATTCCTCTCTGATATGTGGGCCCTCATACCGAAACTACTCCAGTAAACACACAACCACACAGCAGGAGAGCTGCACCTGCTTTTGCGCTTAGCTGTCATTTTGATTTTGACACATGAACACTACTTCCTTGACGCCTCCTTTAGTGCTTCCCCTACCTGTTAGTGCGTGTGTGTGTGTGAGAGGCAGTTTGCATTACTTCACCCGCAGACAACCTCTGCGCTGCAGGAACCACACTGCACCTGACGCACCTGACGCACCCGCAACAAACAGACCTGCCTCGGCATTTTGAGTAAGGACATGTACCGCCGTGTCCCTCAGAGCCTACCAGCCTGTCATTACCTTTCGTCACAACACGTAACCACTCATCTATGAGGTTTTTCTTCTTCCTTCCACGCTCCCACCTCTGATCTCCACCCATCACTACTTAGTGCTTCGTCATTGCTGCGACGCCTCCTCCTCCTCTCAGTGGAAACCCTGATCGATAGTCTCCCAACTTGCTCTGGAGGGAAACGCCGGAATTATGGCACCAAAATAAAGGTGGAGGAAAACGCGCGGAGGATTCACCCGTCTGCTCAGGTATGACGCTATTGTTATTGTTGTTGTTGTTGCTGTTGTTGTTGACATCGCACAGCTTCCCCGGCGAGGTTGTGCTGGCGGCGGAGGTTCGCTCAGAGTTCACCGCGCCGTATTTAGAGGGATTATGTCAAATGCGACGAGCTCACTGATGTCTGTGCTGTTAGGCTGCATAGGAAATAATACAAAAACAGTTTACTGTAGTGCTTCGAGTACGCTATAAAACTGATAAGAAATGTCTGTGAAGGGTTTGTTGTGGAGGTGGCTGTCACCAACTCGCAGACTTTAGAACGCAAACAGCTAATTTAATTATCAGAAAGAAGAGAACACGGTCAAAGCTAATCCTGCAGGAGTTATGTAAATGATGTAGGTCTGTTTTTGTGCTGATAACAAGAGGGAATCTAGAGGAAAACCTGTAAATGTCACTTATTTATAACAGTGTTTTTCTGTCCTCAAAGGATGGTAGCCCTGTATTTTATGTACTATGTCCTGATTCAGGCTCATAGTTTATGTGTTGAGTTAGTAGTTTATGTGCTCAGGCTACCCCTTTAAGTGATGTGTTATGCAAAACACATTCACTTGGCACTGTACATCTGCTTGACTTTGTGTGCCATCACCTTTAATTTAAATAAACTCTGTGTTATGTGTCCTGTCACATAGATAAAATATGTATTTTACTGACCTGACACACTGTTTTCCCTCTCTCTGTCTCTCTGACCTGGTCACACTGTCTGGGATTGCCCCTGTCATCTACAATGACCTTGTACATGGATTTAATGTGAGTATTAATATATTGTTTAAGTTGTATGAACAATATGAATAACTAAGGCATTGTTGTAGTAATGATCGCATTGAACCACTGGATGTAAGGCTGATTTTGAGGGTATTGCACTGCTGTTTTGCATACATAATGACAATTAATTGACCTTATGAAATAGATAAATGTCCCCTTAATATACCACAATATGATTTAAAGGTAATGTAGAGTTTAATTATGATAAAACAAACCCTGCTCTCAGCTGCAGAGAAGCATTTCCTTTATTTATTTATTATATTTATGCAATGGTTCTTTTAAGTAATACCTATTAAATATTAATTCTTCATTACTTCTGTTCGACTTTGCCATCCACACTGGGACTTGAGTGCAGACTTTGTAGACTCCTTCTGTATCTTTTGCTTGTGTCTGATTCGAATGCTTTTCTACCATGATTCTTTCTTTATTGGCGTGACAAAGTGACTGCGATTTCTCAACCTTGAGTATTTCTACATATACGAGGAGAAAAGGGTTGTTGTAGTTTATGATCAGGTTATTTTAAGAGTGAGTAATAAAACAATTGTGTGACATCCTTTTTTAACCCTCAGCATCTAACAGATCTGAAAAAAAACAACAACATTGTGATAGAATCCCATTGAGAACCTTTGTAGCTGAAATTATGGCTTTATGTTGACCTGCTGGTGTCCACATCACGCTACTTTTGGGAGGGGTAGTGTGACTGTGTCACCCTGAGGCATCTGGACGCAAACACATCTTTATCTCTCATGAACACATGCTCCCAGCATGCCTAAAGCCCTATGTTAAAGTAGATTAGTGTTGGTGGGGATTCCCTCTCTCTAACAAATAATTCATGTTAAACTAGTGATTTGATCTTTTTCCGTGGATTGTGTGTGTTATATAACTTAGAGTGCACATATTTAGATCCAGCTTGCACTGTGTGTTGGGGAAATGTCAACATAAGGAAATGGAAGAATTGAAATTACAGTGTGAGGTTTAATATGTGTAGAGAAGTTTAGGGAAAGGAACATTTGTTCGTTTGCATAATTCTCACACTTACTGTTACATATCATGCATGTGAAAATTTGATTGATTCACCATCTCTCCACCAGGTGGCAGTGTAAACTAAGAAAACACAGCCACTTACAGTAGCATCAGATAATCAAACACAATGTAGCATGTACTTAGGGGGGCTAGAATGTCCTCCACAATCTGTTCAGAGTAGTGTGAGCTCCAGGGCTTGGTACAATGTCTTTTAAGAGATCTCAGATGACATCCAAGTGCATGCATATTAATGTGAGCATTTCATTTCCAATCTGGCTCATCGCTTTGCATATTGTCTCTGGATGCAAAATATTAATGGGAGTTTTACTAGTTGCAAAAAATCCATGACAGTTCTTTTTGTAAAGTTGCCCCGTCCTATTCTCTGTATTAGGTTACAGCACAGGATGCACTCAATATACATCCTGACTCCTTTCTTCTTGTCTTTAATCTGAATTCTCTAAGTAGTGTGTAAAGGTGAGAATTCAAACTTGCTCCAAAACAAGAAGGATGGGCAACATGTCTGCTGGCAGAAAGGAGCTGAAACATGGAACACTCCTGCTTCATAAATTCTTCATAACTTAATGGTGCGCTATGAATATTGATGCGCTGTTACCATCTATCCCGTTAGTGCTCTTGAGAGCTCGGCTCCTGAGCACAAATAAAACCCCTGCAAACCATGCCTCCATCACATGCACTCAAAATTCACATTTAAGGCATTTTCAAAGTTGTTTTACATAAGATCCGGGAGGGAAGGCGGCACGGTGTGTGATGTGTACCCAGATGCGGTATTGAAAGTCAAAGAGAGACGAATTGGGTGGAAGTGGTATGGGACATTATGTAACCACTGGGTGATGGAGCCAGAGAGGGATAAAGATGTTCCAAACAAACATAACCCCCACGCACTCAGTCGGAGTAATGCACTGCGCCATCGTATGTGCGTGTTTGCCCGTGCTTTTGAGCAAATGAGGAAGAGTGACGGGGGGATGGGGGGGGGTGACGGAAAGTGTACGTCAGTGTTTTGGGTGTGTCTACTATGTGAGTGGCTCATCTCAGAGTCTGCGGTTCCAGTCTGTCATGGTCTCAAGGGACTGTGGGTCTGTGAGTGCTGCTCCTTTTCTCCTCCCTTCTCTGCTCTGTCTCTCCTCCCTCTCCTGGGTCCAGCTCAACACCTGCTCCTTGCAGTAGGCACAGGGTAGGGCAGGGGTTCCTAAGCAACTGAAGGCAACGCGAGTAGTTCTGTAGTCTTTGTTTCTCTCCCTTGCTCTTCCTCTTATTATCTCCCTGACTTGTTCATTCCAACCCTAACTGAAGCAGAGGAAGCAAATAAACTATATGGAGATATCCGTTTGTACTCAGCTGGAATGTCTTCCTGTTAACGCATTAGGTCACAGTAAATGTTTAACACTACTAGTTTGTGTGCTTGTGCTCAGTGATCAAAGTCTAAAGAAGAAAACACGATTATCGACTGTTACTGCGTAACGGAGACATTTCTGTTTCTCTTATTTGGTGTTGCTTCTTGATTTCTCCTTTTGGACTTTATGATAACATCCACGGACTCACCTTTCTTTGTACTGGTAAGACATTTTCCTTCAGTGCATAGCAAATTAATTGCCCAGAAATGACATGTGGCGCTGCTGTGCATGCCACATGAACTTACCTCTGTGAGACAAAAGTGATGGTTCCTATTCCCCCATGTGGCTGAGAGAATAATGAACCCCTATACCCACCCCCTTCTTCTGCCTATGAGCCGTATGGCCCTAATGGGGTCAGGCAGATGGGTGGGGACCATGCCGGGGTCCATTAAGACAGCTTGATCGGACGCACATGTGTGTGCTGGTTTGTTTTTTAGTTTTTTAGATAAGGTGTTTGAGGGCGGGTCTGGTGTTAGTTACGTTCTCTGGTTTTATTTTTTCCTAATGACTTTGAAACTGTGCCACTTTTAAATCTCCCCACCTGGATCAAGGTGCTGGCCCCTCATACTGTGCAGATGAATGCACCACGTTGGTGCCTGTAAAGACTGGTGAAGACTCTGAGGAGTATTGCTGTGTGCCTCTGTGCCTCCCTCCTGTTTCTGGACATTGTACTGTGTTAACGATTGCACTCTTTGGCCCGCCTTACTCCACGCCTGTTGGGGATTGTTGTAAGGAGGCTTAATGCATCGCACCAACATAGTGATGAGTTGTGAATTAAAACTTGACAATGTGAATGCCCTCTTTCATAAGCATGACACTGACACTAGTAGAAATCTGAGGTTCCACATCAGCTTTGAACACGTATGGATTGCTGTTAGACACTGGATCAGTGGTTTTTAGAGTTAAATTGCTCCAGAATGTTCATATTTCTCTTCAGATATTTGAACATAGCCTTTCATTTAGTGGCATGGAGCAGCTCTAATCAGCATTATATGAAAACTGTGTCCATCTCCTCCACCTTGCATGCGGTTGTGAGGCGTGCTGATCGCTGCTCAGTTGGCCAACTCAAGTCCAAGCCTCAGTGTGAGACTCCACCCCTTTACGAGCATCGGACACCTTCAGCACAACAAAGCATGTGTCGCTCCGCAACATTGTTTCTCCTCTGAACGTGCGGAATATAGGATTTTTGTCGGATTTTGTCGCTCTTTGCTTTCCGATTGATGCTAATCCTAGAGTAGGTAAGCCACATTGTAGATGTGTGTTCCTCGGGCGGTGGGGATGAGTTAGTGTTTATTTGTTTTGTTGCACATTCGGCGCCATTTTCATACCCAGATTTGTTTAAATGCCCTGGCACGCTGGCCCGATGCAGCCTCTAACTGTTTCTGCGGTTTGATAGAGGGGGGGAAAAAAGTTGGAAATTGAAGTCGTGTGAGGCTATGTTACCATGCCACATTGGAAAGACGATTTCTTAAAGCAAATGAAAGTCATATAGGCTCTATGTCCTAATTAAAACAGCCCTGTAGCAGTCTTAGAAGAGCCCCATACATGAAACGCGCTCCGTATCGGCGGAGGCAGAGATGCGTTTTCTACATGTGTTGAGTTGTTTTTGTAAAAATGAATGGGCATGCAAGTTATCACTCTGCTGTAAGAGTGTAAGATTTTAGGAAACTTGCACTATTTCTACTACTACTACAATTTCTGTTTGTTTCTGTATTAAAACCACGCATTCGGCTATACTAATGTAAGGTAATGTAAAGGTTAATACAATTAGGTAAATGATGATAAATGAAAGAAAAAACTGAATGTTTTTATGTTAAACCTTAATTCTTTTTATTAATGGTTCATCTTCACATAGAGTACAGTATAGAGAGGTCTGATCACATTCAGTGTGATGTATAAGAGACATTAACATGATGAACTGACTGAAGGTGATGTGATTGTCATGTTTTGTCCCCCTTAATCATTCATATGTTAAGTAGTTATTGTTCCGGGTGATGCACTTTTGTCTCTCCGTGTCGGGATGTTCTTGCTCTCGAATGCATCTCTTTGAGGTGTGCATCCTAAAATGTGTCCGCTCTGATGTGCAGATGTTGGTTTTTCATGCTGTTTTCAGAGAGATGGCATTGCTTTTGGTTTTCATTTTCTGCTTGAGATGACTTGCTTTTACCCCCAGTAGGAGTGTATAGGTTAAAAATATCCATCCTCGCTGGAGGGGGCGGCATATGTGAATGTGTGTCTGTCCCTGCGTGTGCACTTAAAGAGAAACTCATCCAATAAGCCTCATCTCCATTGATGATACCACTGGATATATATAGTGAGATAATCTTTTATGAAGCGCTGCAGATATGACGTAGGGAGGATGAGGGGAAAGACAGAGGCAGCATTAATGCAGTAGGACTGCAACAGAAGTAAACACAGAGGTTAAAAAATGACACGAGATAAGACCCGGGTGCTCGGGGTCTCCTGTACTGCTGAATCAGCGGCGTTGTAAAACACAGAGCTGCTGAAGTGATGGCTGAAGGATGTTTTTGGCTCTGCTGTGTGAGAGTGAGGTCACCGAGGTCCCAGAAGAGCTTGCTGGTGTTAATCCTCTTTTGGGAGTTATGATGCATTCGTGCAGTTAGACTACTACTCTGTTGTCTGAGCATTACTAAATAGAGAACAGACTCTGCATACTGTACAGCGTCATTTGCGCTTTTCGTCATGAATGAGGGAACCAGGGTTGGACGTAGCGTAGAAAACTATGTGAAACGATCAAACTTTACTTAATCGTCACACAAGTAATCACAAAAAGATCAAATGATTTTATTTAAATATAGTAAATTGAAATCATTTAACTTATGACTCCTGTTATCTAGACACAGATTTAGATTTTGTGCCCAACGTAAAAAAAAAAAAGAACACTTCTTTCATAATGTGCACTAATGTCCAGATATACTACTCTGCCGGTGGACTTTTGGCTGAGGTGATGTTGGAAAATGGATTCAGAATTGCTTTCAGGGCAACCACAGTAAATCAATCCAGCTACTTCATTCTTTTCCCATGTCGGTTCATGTTACAGCATCAGGCGCACTGACCATCTGTGTGTATTGATTAATTTGGAACTGGGTTCAGGATAGGGTTACACAGAGGACTAGACTAAAATAACCCTTTGTTTCCCGATGAGTATCACCCAGTACACACACAATCCACGATTCCAGTGCTTCATTTAAAGTTTGATCACAATTTACATTTGTTGCAAGAATTACTTTACATGTCGCGCCATAATCTTGAAAGCATGCAGTGTTATTTTACACCATAAGATCATTTAAGAAGTAGTAGATGTTCACACATATCATAAGATATTCAGCCCCCCACCCATATTATGTGTATTCATGATGTTGCTGGGCAGGCTTGTGTATTTTTAACTGAACATTCTTAACAGTTTAGCAGGGCACATGTTAGTGTGTATGTTGGCATGTGTGTCTGTGTTTACTTAAGAGAGGTTAATAGGAGCCACCATGTGGTCTGAGGACTGATATCTTGGCTTTCAGTTCATTTCTGTTGATTTTCAGCCAGGTAGGCGGGGCTCTGCATAAAGCCATGAATCAGCACAGCTGATCGCAACTGTGCTTCTGGCAGCTTTTCTCTCTCCACCACACACACACAAAGACACACACAGATGCCCACACTCACCCAGAGAGGCAGAATGAGAGAGAGAATCAGAGTGGAGGGAGACAGTGAGATAGATACTGTAGGCAGGTAGATAGAGATAATCTCACTTGGTCACTTGGGGGCTGATTAACTCTAAACTCCTTCTAATTCCTTAAGCCTACTCTCAGTACCCAGGAAACATGCTTTCTTTTTGTCCTAGTATTCCTACGTGGTAACGTTATGGTGGAACTTGTCAGTCAGTGACCAGTGTTAGAAAGGAAAGGGCAGGGAAGTCACTCAAAACAATTGCAATCTCTCTGCTGTCTTAAAAATGATGCTGTACGTAGTAGCGTCTGCATTTGTGGCTGTGCACACATGTATGCACATGTGCATATGCGTGTTGTGTGCAGCACGCTGTGCACAGAAATAGATACGAGCTTGAGCTCTGTAAAGGCTAACTAATGAGTCCCTGCATCATGAGCACATGTAGCTATTTATATACTATACCTCATCCTCCTCCTCTGCAAGCTCTGCCCCATTCAGCCCTCTTGTCTCATTTCATCACACATATATATACGCACACTACCACACGCACAGCAGCATCACTGCAGCATCACTGGCAGATAATATGAAGGTTTTGGTGTCTAGACAAATTCCTGAAAATCTATTTTTTTTAAAACTGGAGTCCTGGATTAATGGGGAAGTCATTGGGTTGGCATCAATTCAAACTTTAATGGGAACAATTAATGATTTGGAGCTCAATTAGTCATGATCTGTTAGTGTTAATTAGATTTAAGCCTGTAAAATAATGCCATTTTCCATAAAATGCAAGTCATTTGAAGTATAATGTGACATTGGCTTTAAGTAAAATCCACTGGGTCAAATCAAATTTCCAATTATCTTCCTGTGGGAGCATTAGATTCAATTAAAAGTAACAGAACAGAAACTCTAAATCAAAACCGTGATTCAACCCCAGCCCTGGCATTTGCACCTGATCCAGCAGCTCTTTGCGAGCTCGGTCTTGCTAGAGGGTAGCCTACTTCATCTATAATTTAGCTCATTAGAGACACTAATTATGTAGGATTGAGGGCAGGTTTTTTTTAACAGCACAGCAATAATTCATCTAATTACCTCCACACAAAAAAAAGAAATATGCCTCATATTATCAGAGATTGATGCTGTATTGAGACATCTGTGGTGTGGCCGCCGCTATCTCAATCAGTCATGATGCAGGTTAGCCCTGCTCAGCTGGCTGATAGCAGAGATGTTAGATAGGCAACACAAAATGGAGGAGGCAGCAGACACAAGCTCAGCTGGTCCATTAGGAGCATGACTGTTTCCTGACAATCACAATTGAGATGACGGAGCATTAAAAGACCCAAAGGAGCCCGTGAGCACTGATGCATACCGGTGTGTGTGTGTGTGTG